ATGCGTGACAAAAATGGGTAGAGTTACTGTATATTCGTGACTTGTTTTCACTGCTGCAGTTAAACCTTCTTTTAAATTGGAAAACATTTATTTTACAATATCTGTTTTACAATCTTTATTTTACAATAAGCAGTTTTCGTTTTTATTTTTAAGTGGCCGAATACATGAGCATTTAAAAAAAATATATAGTTTCCTCGCGCGCCGTAAGTTTTATATACTGTGTCAAATAACTTTCGAGACTTTCAGTCGCATTTCTCTCAAACTGTTGTCAATTCTGGTGTACATCACGCTTAGTGTATGAAGTCTTTAGCGCTTGATGCAATTCATTTTCGTATTCTGACTATCGTTAGGCTACGTTTTGCAAACGTTTTGGGCAGATTTTTTCGTTTAAAAATTGTTTCACTCCTCGGTTTTTGCCGCGAAAACCAGAGCGGACAGTTGCATTTCGCAGTGGGCCGGATGCAAAAAACCTGCTCGCGCTGATAGGCTCCTCGGACAATCAGATTGCTTCATTCTGACTGATAAAAAAAACAAGACGCTCTACAGAGCGTTAACTCGCTGGGACTTTACAAATACGCACATTACTGTATATGCATGGTACCACAATCGGATGGGTAATTGAAGAGTTATCACCTGACTCATGTTGCAAAATTGTTGATTCGATGTTTGTCTTGTAAACTAAGTACGTACAAAGAAGACCTTGGAATGTATGTTACGCCGCATTTAATTATTGTTGATGAGAACCGAGAAAATTTGGGTCGGTTGTGTTGCTCTAAAGACTGTCTGACCAATATGTTTGCTGCGTATAGCTATAGGGGCGTACTGTATATAATATAAAAGCAGACACGAACAAGCTTTCTAAGAACATGATTATCAAAACTTTACTATTAATTAATAAAAAAACATTTCATTTGAGGTTTTGAAAGAGGACAAAATAATTAAGTGCATGAGTGTATGCTAACTTTATAGTTATGCTAACTTTTATAGATGTTGACATTAAATTTGCGATTGGTGAACATGCGAATGGAACGCTTAAAAGTTATTTCAACGTGCATGTCATATTACATGCATTTCATCGTATATATTAAAATTTTATTATGTTTTGCTGTAAAATGTTTCATGTTTTCAAAACTGGGCGTGGCGATTATTATATTTAACAAGATTCTGAAATAATCACTACGAATATTTGCAGTTCCAATATTCAGCTTCAGTTTGGATAATGATTATATAATTACGGAACAAATTTTGCATCTTTAATAGCAACCATTTCTACTGTAAGCTTTATAATCTTTATTTTTCGTTGATTTACCAGTAGAGATCGCGATGTTCGTTAAAAAGTTACCAATAATGAGGGACAATCAATATACGTTTGTAGCCTTGTTCGAGACGACTTAACAGTCATATTTCAAGGAACGTCTGAAATCTCCATAAAATCCACTTTAACAGCAATATTTAATAAATACAGTAGCGTACAAATGCACGAACAATTTATAGCGTCCACTCCGAGATTAGAATAGTGGAGACACCACAATGAAGTTAGTGATGAAATAAATTGAAATATTGAGCATCAGCGTTCCATTGTAGACATTTCATCATTTAAATTTATAGTCGAACATATTTCGTTGCATAACGTGATGTGTTCAACATTTTTCTACAAAATAAAGAAATGCATGAAGACTATGAGGACAATAAGGTTCCAGATCTTAGTTGAATAAAAAAATACTAGTCTCAACTATACAGTGTGTCAATATATAAACATAATAAAGTAGGGCCGCAATGCCGCATTTGTCTCTTAAAGGACCAAACAACAACCTTTTTACTCATTATTCATGATCATACGAAAACTATTTTGCGACATGCCTTAACATAATCGGTGATAAATCACCAAACTGTCTCATTTCAAACTTTCCATTCTAAAAAGAAGACCATTTTGAGTTATGTATTTGAGCTAACAGCAGATTTGACTTGTAGTATACGAAGTACAGTGGAATGTACATGTTGCATCCAGCTACAATTTAAAAACGATATAGAAACATACCTTGTTTGGATGGAACTGCAGGATACTCCTCACGTCAGTCTCCTTGGAGATCTACCAGAATCCCCCATCCCAGTCTCCATGTAGACTGGCTTTTCATTTCAGCGATTTTTTAATATTTGATTTTTTTCTGCAATTTATTAATAGTATAGCTTTAGTCGGTTATATACTGAAACTTTAATGAAACAACTGGCATAATACTACATGTCAAAATTTTCAATGAAACCACTTGTCAAAATCTTACAGTTATCTTAACAGCCTCGTGATCTGAATAATACACACTTACAACGTTTGCTTCCATTTTATTACTTATTGACTGTTTTACGTAAACATGATCGAGAAGACTTCCGGAAGAAACAAATGTTGGTTTACTTACAAGTTGCACATAATTTAAAGACTCGGCGAGTAATTTCAATAAAGAAATATTCTTTTCATTAAAGTAATCAATATTGAAATCTCCAAATATAACGTCAATATCCAAGCTAGTTATTATATAATCTAGGCAAGCTATGAACTGCTGAATGTTACCTCCGTGCTTACGATACAGCAGTAGACAGGATAAAGGATTCCCACCAGAGTTATTAAGTAAAAATCTTAAACCATTTATTGAACTAAAATATTCTGTATCACTTAGTCTAATAGCGTCTTTGTAGCAAACAGCTAGACTTAAGAACTTGTCAGAATTTTGATCTTGTTTGTGTAAAGAAAAATCTTTAAGAATTGAGTTAATATCATCATTTTGTACACTGGTTAAAAGTTGAGTTTCCGTTAGAGCCAGCACATCACATTTTGACAAGATTTGGTCACTACTTAGGTGAAGGCAGTGTTTCTTCAATGATCTAATATTTAGAAGACAAATTGAGACAGTTTCTTTGTTACACAAATCTGTTGTAATATGCGGTTCAAGACTCGAAGTTTCACGCAATCTCTCGTATTCTTCCTGGACTTTAGGATTAGCCCGAATATGTTTACTTTCAAGTGTTCCTAAAATATGCAGGCCATTTAAAGACGTTGCTCAACTAAGTGCTACATATACCTGACCATAGTTAAAATATCTTTGCTTTTTTAAATCAAAACTGACGACAATGTTATCTAGAGTTAATCCTTGTACTTTATGCACAGTGCATGCCTATGCAAGAGTTAAAGGAAATTGTAATCTCTGCATTTCAGGAGATGATGGTTTTCCTGGTCTGACTTTAATTCTCGCTAGTACAGGTTGGATAGGAACAAGATTGTTTTCTCTTGCAAAACTACTGGACGAATTTCGTATAGCAGATCTTCCAGCATTACTGTCATCAAATTTAACAAATATTGTAGAGGGTTTATTACTAACATTACCAACAGAAACTTTTATCACTGTACCTAACTGGCCATTAATCAGTCGATCGCTAATATCTACATTGGTTGTGAGCATAACTCTTGCATTTTCCTTGATCAGGATTTTAGTGTCAAGCCCTCCAGTTTCGGATCTTCCTTTAGACAGCACTCTTTCGATATCCTGTTTTCTAACATGGGGTGGAAATTGATCAGAAGCTTCTAAAATGTATAATTGTGGTGATTGAATTTTTTCTAGGCGATCAATATTGTACTCATCTACTGGTGCACTTTCTGCAAAGATGTGTAATGCATTTGGAGTTATTTTTCTGGATTGAATATACCTAATATCATCGTCTGTATGTGAAGCAGTGCGCACCCTATTTAATAGTTGAGTGAAGGCGATGTCATCTTTTTGTCTCATCATCTGTGTTAGTTCTGCCATTTTAAAGACATGCCATGGATGGTATAGATTGAATGCATCATTCTTATAATTCGAAAATGTTTTTGCGCTTCGAATTGGTGGTAGCTGAAAGAAATCTCCGAAAACAAGTACACTGATTCCTGCAAAAAGTTCACTATTCGGTGTAACAAATATTTCTTTCAATCTCTGGTGAATATGCAGCAGACCCATGTTTGAGACCATTGATATTTCATCAATTATGATTAGTTTCAATTCTGCCAAAGACAATCTCATTTGTGTTCTTCTCTGGTCAGACATTGCAGGTACATTATTCCCACATTCTCTTGGAATTGCTAGAGCAGTGTTCACGGTTGTTCCGTTGATATTTAAGGCAGCTACACCAGTTGGAGCCATTAGCAATACAGAAGGCAATTCAGGATTCATTGGAGCATGTCTAAATGTTTTTGTAACAGTGTGATATATAGCTTTAATTAAGTGTGATTTCCCTGCATGCAGGTGCACCTCCACCTCCAGTAACAAAAACATGTATCGGATCTACTTTAGATGGTTTAAGGGTGTTTAGGTTGGCCATCTTATGTCTGCACCAGGAAAGAACTACGTCATATGCATAACGTTGTTTATTGTTCAATGATCTTACAGTTTTTCGTAAATCGTCGTCACTGATTTCTAAGGGTTGATTATAAGAACTTATTCCAGAAGATGGTTGAACTGATTCAGGATTTGATGCAAGATGTTGTGGCAACGATTCATTAAAAGACTCGGTTTCATCAGAATCGTCAGGTAAACTTTGTCGCAAATCTTCATTTTCCTGGTCATTATTGGATCATAGGAGTGAGTTGGTACGCCATCAAAGTTTCGTAAACTTTCTAGTGCTTCATTAATTGCATCACCATCTGGCTCAAATATTTCTTTGTTGCGTTGTACTACCTCTTGAACATCTGGCTCATAAAACTTAGAAATGTATGTCTGGTCTTCGCCAAAGGGTTCCTGCAAATTACGCCATGGAAAATACAACATGAGAAGGTGGTGAAAATATTTTCAGGATCTTTTCTTTTGTTTGGAGTGTGATATTGAATGACAGCTTTAATTTTTCTGCACTTTATAATTTCTTTGCTGTTTACAAGTTTTATTCGATCGGGAAATCCAGTGTTATGATTTTCGATATTTTGAGATCCAATGAAGTCATCGCTTAACACTTCAGGTTGAGAATCAGATACTTCGTTAAAATCACTTTTGTAATCTTTGAAATAGTGCGCAGCAAATAAAAGCTAAACACATATCATTAACGATACGAATCTTTTTCGGCCTGTCAATGTAACGGACAACAATGTTAGACTTAAAAATGTCAGTACTATCATCTAACTCATCAAGTTCTTGTTGTTTCTTCGCAAATCTAACGCGATTTTCAGCAAAATCCGTGTTAACAAAGAGAGTTTTCGGGAATATTTTTCTTAACCAGAGTTCAGGCATGCATCTGTAAACGCAATCTTGAGCACTGACTTCACGAGTAGAGAGAAAAGCTGCACCTATTTTTCTTAGTCCATCTCTTACATTTAAGTTGGCTTCTTTAGCCTCTTTTGCTGCATTTATGATGGCTTGAGAACATTCAGTTTCATCCTTTGTAAAGTAAGAACAAACGTATGTGATGCACTTGTAATGATTAAACACTGGTTGCAAGTCAACATTTGCGGCAAATCCTTTTAACCCAGCAATAAAATAATTGTTGATAAAACAACTGTCTATTGGTCTTTTGAGGTGCAGTTCATAGCCAGAGTCTGGGGATATTGACATAGCCCATTGATAATCTTGCTCTGTAATATCTATATCAATTAGAATGTAAGTTGGAGTTGCATGTGGGTCATAAGTAGGTTTGCTTGGGTTTAACACATCGTCAATTTTTTGTTTAACTTTAGACAAAATTTCCTTTCGTCTGGTTAGAATATTGGATTTAATCTCATCATCTATATCTTCAGCCAAAGGTTCAGCAACAATTGTTCTGTCAGTAAAAAACTGTCCAAAGTTAAATCTGCATGCAACATTTTTATACTTTCTACAGGTTTTACTGTGATTATGTGTCTGGTATGTTTTTACCAAGTCATAAAGTTGAGGATCTGTTTCTTTGTCTGGGAGGTATGCTTGTACATGTTGGTCAATGTAATCTATCTATGCATCTTTTGTATCATTTGTTAATTCTGGGCAATCAGATGTCCATACTAAGGCGTGCAAATATGGTGAACCTCTCATTTGAAATTCGATACGGTGTGCATAATATACTATCCTACCAATTGGGTTTGCATTTGTGAGCAAAACATCCCTAAAAAATGTTTCAACTCGATACTGGAAATGTTTAGCTACAATAACTGGATTTAAATTTAACATTAAGCATTGCTCATGATAGGACAGAGCCTCTAATTCTTCATCTGTTATGTTGTTGCCTCTTGTTCTTGCAATTATCTGAAATATGCCTGATCTTGCAAAACAAGATTTTGAAAAGCTTGACTGTTTGATTTTACTTGTGATGCTGTGAGTGACTGACCACGTATTTTTTTAAGAGCGATATTTACACTATCAGAGATCTTTCTCTGTTCCATAATGAATTGTGCAAAGAATAGATACTTTGGATTCGTTGCAAATTTCCCACTATAATGTAAGAGGCGAGCATTGAAGTATTTTATTGGAGATAATTTTATGTCTCGTTCAGAGGTGTACCCAAATCGTCCCTTTGGAAAGAGTACTGGAAATGAAAGTTCCTCGCAAAGTTTATCAGTCATTGATGACACTGGGTGTTTACCTTCACCTGGTGCAATGTTGAAAATTTCTCTACCAGTTGAATTACCACAGTTTGTATTGTCTTTGGTAACAGGATAATTTGGAAGATGGACTGAAGACAGGTTTCACTTGCAGCTGAACGGTGTTCATTTAATGGATCATCTTGTTCTCCAGCATCTTCATCAAGCAGTTCGCTATGCAATGGATTATCAATATTTTCTTGATTGGTAACAGGGCAGTTCAAATTAATCAAGTCTGGGCTAATGTTGTCACACCGAATTTCAATGTTTGTATACAAAGGATTGTTTGCTATAAGCCAGTTTAATGCACTAATTACAAACTGAGGACGAACTGCTTGGAAGTAAACATGACCTCTAAATTGAAGTTTCCTTTTTAATTTCAGTAAAATTATTCCAGATCTGTCAGGTGGTCTGGGAAGAACATTGCATGTTTGACTACATTCAACTGGTACATTACATATTGCACCTTTAATTTTTCTTTGTTGTCCTCTCGGCATTATTACAATTTTTTCAAAGACTATTCTCTGGGCAGCAAGAATTTGTTCAAGTTTCTCTAATGCAGCAAGTTCAGTGGGGGTTTCATCAACAAATAAATTGTTTTCCACAGCTTGACAAAGTTGTTGATCTTTAAGTAATTTAGCATGGCAAGTTTTGCAGATGTACTCTTTGCTGTCAAAAGAACATCGACACATAAAACAATCCTGGCGAGGATATTTATTCTTCTGAAGGATTACTACTGACTTTTTATATAATGTTCGGTTACAGACACAGCATATGTAAAATGGGCCAGCCTTAATTTGTTTTTTAAATTTTTCAATGTATGTGTCAATATCATGAGTTAGAGACTTCTTTTCCATCCGGTTTTCTTTCTCTCTATTCAGCAAATTTTTGTTTTTGTTTTGGATCCAACGACATGCGATTTGACATGATTTTGCTTGAATTGATAGCAATCAATTCCTTTTTCTTTGATTTATCCATTGTTTGATATTTGGCTCTCTTCTTCTCTAATAGTTTCCGTTTTTGTTCTTCTCCCATTGTTTCCTTATAATTCATATTTTTAGCAAGCAGTTCGTCTTTCTTTGATTGATCTATTGCTTCATACTTTACTCTTTTATTCTCCAGATCTTTCTGCTTTTGATCTTTAGTCATTGTTTGTTTATAATTCATATTTTTAGTAAGCAGTTTTTGTTTTTTCTCCTTCGCCATTATTTTGTATTTCATCTGCTTTGTTTCTAGCTTCCGTTTCTTTAGACTAGTTGGTTCAATGAAGTCATTTATATAGTCTTGCCTGTGTTTTTTCATAATCCTTTTTCTTTCACAGTTAGTTAATTCAGAATAACAAGACAAGAATTGAATTTCATAATTTACAATTTCATCCTTGATTTTGGTGTTTGCTAGGTTAAAGATAGTATCAACTAAAGTGCATGTGTTTGTCTTTTATGTTTTTAATGTAATGTGCAGTACATGTAGGTGAGCTATCATCATATGCTAATATTGAGTACGACATATTCTTAATTGATGTCTTTTGAAAAATGCAAGAAATACAATAATCTCTAATCCACATTAAAAACCCTGTGTTTTCATTAGCATGACAAATAAGGCTTTCAATGTATGGTTTGATTTTTGCCTTGTCATTAATTACACCTTGAATGTTATCTTGCAATTTTACATGTATTTCAGTTCCACATACTCTAACGTTTTGAGGTATATCACTAGATGCATTTATTCCAGTATTGTTATACAAATTAGTACCAGAGTAAACAACTGCAGATACTGTACTTGAATCCCAGTAATTACATGGTTTAATAACAGAATAACAAATAGAATATAATGAAATCGCACAACATTGTCTACACAACCGAGAAACGTCAGTACTTTTCAATTCTTCTGAGCCATTACCTGATAGATCAGAATTTCTAATACTGTTGTTTAAGTTCTGGTCACCATTGGCTTGTACTTCTTCAATATTTATTCCTCTTAGCTCAAATTGACTGTTTTCACCATATAAAGACTGGAAATACAGAATTACATTGTTGATATTTGGTGCTTCTAATAAGAATGAGAGTCAAAAATTTTATACTTGCCATCATTGGTGGAATATATGCAAACTGCATTGGAGTCAATTGTTAAAATGAATGCACAATAGTGTTCAGCCAGGAGTAATTCAAATGACCTGTGAAATGGAACACAGTACTGATACCCTTCAATCGAACAGTCTCCTATTACGTTACCGCTATAGCTCTCACTGTACTCTAAAACAAACTCTGTGTCAAATACTGTAAGTTGTGAAGACAATTCTGTAAACAATAAAAACGATTGTCGTGCTAAACATGACAAGTTTGAATATAGTTCATTATACCAATATTCATTATATTAACCAGGTCTTGTGGTGATAAAATGTTCTACCTTTTGTTGTATATAAGGGCACATGAACACATTGCTAAACACTGCTGTCCTGCTGTTTCTCCAAATATAATCTGATTACCTTGGCTATATGGTGCACTGATTGTCTTGCTCGGATCAATATAGAATACAGGTCCAGGATTTGTCTCGATATCTGTATATAATGCTGACTGACACACATTCTTTAAGTGGTTTACATTTTTCTACACTTGTTGCAGGCATTAAAATACTGAATTTTTACAAGGACACACTTTGCCTTCAGAGGCGTATTTTTGGTATAAATGCGCAGACTCAGGAGAACGACTGAACGAGTGGCGAAATCACAAGTTTAGCGTCGAAGACGCGAGCTTTTAAGCGGGTATCTGAAATGGCATTTCCAGAGTTCTGAGACTGAGAACAGAATTTGCAAAATCTTTGGCCATTTTGCGTGGATTACATTAATATATTTTCAGTTTAATATATTTTCAAGTACACACTTTTCAATTTACAAGGGCACATTCGCCTTTTACAAGGACGCAAAGTGTGTACAAGGACACGCTATTTTAATGCCTGACTTGTTGTGCATATAAATCATTAGTCAAACCTGATGCATAGAATATATCTGCAAGAATTCCTTCACAAATATAAAATTTTAAATTTTTTGCTGAATGTTTTGTCCGGCATTTCTTGAGAACCTTCTTTGGGCAGTAAACATCAGGGATACACTTCATCCTAGTGTTTTGACAATGCATAATATTCTCTACTATATAATGAAGATGAGAGGATCTGGGTACAGACCTTTTGATGTTATGTCTGAGACGTTTTCTCAACAATCGACTTTTTCCAAACTTCCTAGTTAGCCATTTCACCTGTATCCTACTGGGTTCACGGTCACGGTGACGTAAATGGCAACCAGTGGTAGTAATGTCAGTAACATGCATTTGTGTGCAGATGTTATAAAATAATGCATGTCGTGATCGCACTGGGAGTTTCTTTATATGCATAGCCTTGGGCTTCGAAGTACCTGTTGTTATTTTATTCTGGTTATTTAACTTGGAAATGCAGTTGTTAATAGATATACTTATACCTGACATATGTTGATCTGTGGACATATTTTTGTTTTCCATATCATCTTTGCTCAAAATTATTGACAAATTCTTGATTGGTAGCCTATCTGTTCAGACGATATCGCATTGTCCATGTTCTTTGTAGCCTTTCTGCTGGCGGCCATGTTGACTATGTGCTCGTTGACAGTACAGTAACTTGATTGTGAGTTTACGTTTGTATTATTCGTCATTTCAGTGGTACTTTTGATTTCAGCTAGTGGTACTTTTGATTTCAGTGGTACTTTTGATTTCAGTGGTACTTTTGATTTCAGTGGTACTTTTGATTTCAGTAATACTTTTGTCAGATTTTTGGCAACTTTTTGTGTAACATTTTTGGCAATCTCTGGTATTGATTGTGGATTCGTGGATAATCGACCCGGTTCGAAATCGCTCAGCATCTTTTAGTGTAGGTCTACCACGAATAGGTGCAGAGTCATGCGATGTGAGCGTATTTGAAATTAATCACATTCACTTACCGTAAACATCGTCGAAAAGTTCGCTTTCTTCTCAAAATACAAAACAGCAGCAAACAGCGAATGCACTTGCCGACTTGCGATTTGCAAACGATGCTGTTTCCATGTAAATTTTGGTAAAATTCCTTGTAAAATTTGGTCAAGTTTTCAATTTTCCCGAATTTTCCTCAAAACGTAGGATTATTTGTGGATAATTTAGGTAAAAATTGGCAGGAGCCTTATGGATAATGAGGGTACAAATTAGGCAGCTCATTAATATTCTATTTTGTGGCTGTCGATCCACTATCCGAGAAAAATGCATGCCGAAACCTATACTCGCCCGGGGCACAGGATGCCCCAGCGAGTAATAATTATGAATATTGCATCGATGAGTAAAACCACGCAAGGAAAATATCATTTAATTACCATACATATATCTGTCATCTTGTCTTTTGAACACATTAGGGGACGTTGTATTTTGTTGTAAGATAATTTATTTTGAAATGTCATTTTAACTTTGTTTTGTTCAAATGTATGTTTACATGTTCGTGCATTCTTCTCTTTGCACGAGCATTGGTCACACGAACCCTAATTCGGCAAGTACAATTTTCATGAAGCACAATTTTGATTCATGCTACCGTGCTAGCAGTACATGGTTTCTAGCTGAGCTGAGGAGAAACCACTGCGAGCAAACGAACGATTGTTTGATTTTAACCGCCGTCCAGATTTACGGACGAATATATTAAATGAGAAACTGGTAAAACAAGTTTGACAAGTTTTTGTTGTCGTGCGCATGCAGGGTAAATGCTTGGCACTGCCGGTAAAATGCGTGCCAGTTGTACAAAAACAACATCACGTTCTAAATATATAGTAACATGCTTAAATATAATTCCGTGTACAAAATATTATAACTGTACAATATTGAATAAAATGTGAGAAATCATACATCAAGATGACTTGAAAACCGCATAGAGTTCAAAAGAATAACTATAAATTCTACACTGCAACAAAAATCAACTTTTTAGAGAAATATGTTTTGTAGCGGTTGATGTCGCGACGAAACATATTATTTGGAAACTTTCGAAATTGGAATTTACTCTACCGAAAACCTTAACACGATCTCCAATGTTAAAGTAACACAAATAAGTATGGGTAATCACACGGGAAGGAGTGCAATTAATGATTAACACTACGAGTGATATTTGAAAAATGTGCCAAAATTGCACGAGCCGCCGGGGCGAGTATTTATTATTGATTTATTATATCTTATTTATATGCATGACAAAATAGCTTTCTTTAAAATTCAACTGCATTTTGTCAAGAGATTTTAATTCTTTTGTAAGCAATTTGGCATAAACAAACTTGGTAAATGTGATAAAGGCACATAACTTAAACCAGAACATATGATTCAAACTCAAACAACATATTTTAGAGTAAGAAAATCTTTATAAATTGTATTGCAGACTTACATACTGTAGTGATGTAGTCACGTTTCGCTGCATGCCGCCGATATTATTTCTTAAAACTGTTTCCAGGTATTTTCCACAGGCTCTTTTTGCCATACTATGTTTTCTAAACTCATTCTTGACCATTCTTGTGCCAAAATTTAGTTAAATTCGTCCACGTTTGTTATTTATATGAGATCAATTTCGCCGAGATATTGGATTTTTGTTGTTTTGATTTCCAGCTCCCCCAAGCCATCACGAAAATCATTAATTGCACTCCTGGAGAGTCGGAAATTAATGAAATAATTGCACTCCTCTTAACCAATCAGATTGCAGGAATTTTGTCATGTATATAATAAAGTTTGTAAACAATTGAAAAAAAATGATACTGATTGGATAAACACAAAAATTGAGAAAGATATAACAGAAATGCAAATGCACAATTTATATTTGTAGCGTGAGACACCGATTTCAAAATATTTTAGTATTGGCAACAACGATATTAAAACCGATACATAAATTGTGAACTGCATGTGGAATAAAAAGTCGTGATTAAAATTGACAGACAACAAGCAAAACAGTACTATGTACGCTTGTTTACAGATAACAAACTACAGGAGAAAAAGTCAAATTTTGAAAATGACGTCGCGTTGGTCGTATCACGCGATCTTCGCGCATGCTCAATGGAAAATCGTTCGTTTGCTCGCAGCGGTTTCTCCTCAGCTCTGAAGCCACTACCATGCAGCAGGGTATTTTCGTGCCTTAACCATCACGACAATCCTGGTTGCATGGTCCCTGCCTCGGGAAGGGTTTTCCATGTTGGCGAGCTGTGAAAGACTTGATCTTAGATGCATGGGTTGAGCGTGGCTAAGCCAACCCGGGTTGATATCCCACTCGGTCACCCTAAAAGGCTGCGTTAATTAAGAACAAATCTCTTGGCATGCAGGTGTGGGGTAATCATGCGGTCTTTCTTATTCCCACTGAATGCACATGAGATTAATAGAGAAACCGCAGCTTTTTATTCTAATAGTATCTAATGCATTTCTATTAGTACTGTCATCATAAGCGGACTATAGACTTGCAACCACACCAAGGGTTTAGACAGCTAACTATTTAATGCATACTACCATATACATGTATGGAAGGAATTTGCAGGTGGAAAAAGTGGATGTCGCTGATAGCAAAAAATTATCGACTTCTGGCCACAAGTTTTTGGGCCCCCTAGTGATTTTCTATCGTCAAAGTTTCTTGAGGTTATACGTCTCTTTTAGACATCGACGGTCTCGCCTCTCGGGTCCACAAAACACACTGCTTTCCCGAGGTCTCAGTAAATAAGTGTTTTATTATACCTGTATATCAATAGTCAAAGAAACAACAAATTAAAGAACAAATGAACGTAAATACATGACATATTTTATTGTTAAAACGTTATATTAAACACTGGCTACACTGCAGTTACTTAAAGCGAAAGTTTTAATTACGTACTAGGAATGTCCAAAGGTCGCATCTTCACGTGATAGCGCACGTGAATGTTTTGTTATTCGCCGGTCGATAACGTATTGTTTCCCTTTCGCGATGTTGCGAGGGAGACAGCCTAATTTCGTTACTCTCACGTGATATGCTCTCAACCAATAAAACACTAGAAAAATGCGACTTTGACTATTGATATTTAGTATAATTACATAGGTGATTATTGAAAATTCTCCACGCTGATTGGTTGACGTTGAGGTGATTATTACGCGATAATCACCTAAGCGATTTTCAAAATGGCGGCCGAAGCCGTTTTTTTCAATTAAATGACGAAGAAATGTGCATTTTTAATTTTTTTTCCAAATAATCACCTATTAAATTATACTAAAACAATTATTCACCTCAGGCTCGGTGATTATCGTGAATAATAATGACACTTATATCTTTTATTCCTTGAATTGTATCTGAAAAGAAATTAAATTACTTGAATGAAAACGACACAAATTCTTATCTACTAGCTGTCCTGTTTTAATCGATTTCGTGAATCCTGAAGACTTTTTTATTGATTGATGTTGCCTATGTAAAATATGCACGTCAGTAATAATACTTGTACAGAAAAAGAGATCTAACTTTCCTTATGCTCTCTTGCTTAATTAGTCATAATGTCTAGAGGTCGAATTGATGCCTTATCTGTTTGGTCCTATTCATTGATTGAACAAGCTATTTTGCTATTGTCAGTTATGCACTGTCAAACACCATGTATTAGTTAGTGATGACATCATGGGAAAATAGAATCATTGCGATAATCGATATCAGACCATTGTGTCATTTAGACGAAATTGAAGAGTTTCTACAACGCATCCAAATGACGCGTTCTGCGCGCGCATGGGAAGGTGTAGTTGAAATATAACATTTATTTATTTTAATTATTTATTTATTATTGCCTTTATTAGGGTCCACTAAAGTATATGTACAAAGTCTATTTATATAGTCAATTATTCGGAGACCCTAAATGGGCGAGGCGCAACTAGACGGGATTCGAAGAACCATGCAAGGCACTTGCCCAAACTTAGTAAAAATTTACTGTTCTAATTGAAAATCAATACTGTTTTAGTAAACCTCGGAGGTGCATACGCCTTCCGTAAAAATCGAGGGTTAGTAAATATCCCAGTTGCTTCCCACAATGCACTGTATTCCTAATTTTATGAACGAACTGCGGGAAACAACTGGCACAAATCGTAAATGCACCCACTCAAGGTTTACAAACTATATTATGCTGTGTTATGTTTATATTATATGTTTACATGTACCTAAGATTGAAAGAATTAGAATATGCATAGCAAAGTATTGAACTGCATCCTAGTTTGAATATGCAAAGAGTTTCTAAATAAAGGAAAATAGTTTCTGCCCGGCTGATACGCTTTAAGGTGGCTACCTACACTTGGTAAAAAATAGGTACGCTAAGCGTTGATGTATCTGCGAGAGATATAATTATAAAGGCGCGTTTACACTTGCAATTTTTGCTGCGATTTCTAGTGCGATTTTCTTTTTCAATTTTCAAAAGTTGGTTAGCTTAAGCAGTGGAAACTGACCCTCCCCCCCCCCCCTTCCCACCGCATCGGGAGAGAATTTAACTTATCAATTTTATATGATCATCAGTCAGGAAATAAAAATTGATACAGTTAACAATACTACACTTAGATTCTACTATTGAATAAAATAATGAGGTCTGGTTTTCATAGTGAATAAAAGAGCTGTTATAAATTCCACTTGCAGTGATATTTCCATCAGGTCAACAAATGTTTCCTTAAGTCAACAAAGCTGTGACGTCATTGTTTATATATATATATATATATATATATATATATATATATATATATATATATATATATATATATATATATATATATATATATATATATATAAACTGGGATGTCACACTGATAGCTTGACAATCTTCTTTATCACACGTGTAATCAAGATATGCAAAACATTTTTGACGCCATATAGCTATTTCAATTAAGGTTGTCCCGAAATGAATTTATTAGCGATTCCCAGCGCCTTTCGCGCTCGTATTCGACTTTTCCGCTTTGCTCGGGGGACAACCTTAATTGAAATAGCTGTATACTCATGTTGACACTTGTCAATCCATACACATAGAATTTTGGACAGTTTTTGAAAACTTTATTGGCAATCATATGAAGCAAATGTTTTGTCACTTATTACTAATATACAGCATGGGTTACATTTGCCAATGTCAACTGTTGAGTAACATACACAAACTTTTCCAGGAACATACATTAATACTGTAGCAAACAACACTCATCAAAGGCCACTCATCAGTAGAGAATGTTTTGAAGGTCACAAGGATATAATTTCATGCCATCCCTGTGCACAGGTAATAATGATAGATCACACTGTTCAGTATAACATAGCATCAGGGGCGCACATTCATTCGGGGGGGGGGGAGTGTCCTATGTTCTGCGACCGACTTTTGTAGTATTTTTGTTTGATAAGAAAAGCCAACTATTTAAAGAGTTTAAATAAACGTTCAGTTTTCAGAACTTCTGCAGTGGTCTAAATCAGTTTGGGGGTCCAAAAATTTTATGGATTTCAAATGCGAGCGCCGAAGGCGCGAGGAAAATTTTGAATTTCTAGATTCATTAGAACACTATTTCACGTATTTTAGGATGAGGTTGAAGAAAAGGTACTATCGCAAAAAAAGTATTTTTACAGTGAAATACAAAAAGTGTCCCACTTCCGCTTCTGTACTCTGTGGTTTGTTGTGATTTACTGTAATTTGTTCTGTTTTTCTGTAGCGATTACCGATTTATCGGCAAGTACTGCGATAAAATTTAAATTTCGTTCTTTTTATGCAATGAAACTAACGAAAAATGTATTTATTTATTTCCCTTTGCTACAAATTATCATATTTTCAAATAGAAGAAACGCGGTATTTGGGGCCGATAAATCGGTAATCGCTCGGAAGTGGGACACTTTTTGTATTTTCACTGTAAGTCGCCTAATTGTTGCTAGGTCGAAAAAATATTTGTGTAAAACATTGTACTCTACACGCAAATACAACAGCAGAATAGCACGATGTCTTCCTTTTGTACAACAGTACAAGTCGGTAATGACTGCTGTTATGCGCGCAAATTCAAGTTCAAATGTGCTTTCAACAACCATAGGCATTGTTTTTTGGAGTTAGGATTTTAGATAGGGAAGACTACAACTTTTATTGGTAAACAGAGGAGATGGGTATCATTATTCACACATCGTACCCACCCAACAATTTCTGCCAGCTTTTCACAAGCGCAGTCCTTCCGCCCATTGCAGAGCCCCCCGAGCCCCCCCTCTTGGCTACGCAGCTGAACGTCTACCTTTCAAAGTTTCAGACTTTCAGTTTGTGCGACACGATTAACAATGCGCCTTTTAAATCAACTGCACCGCGGGGGCTTGAGGTAATCTGATAGCATTACGTTGGCTGAACTGTTGCAACGCGAAAGTTGATTATTTGCTGCTAGTATAATATGATTGATCTCTTGGTTTGTGTATGCGTTTTTGTTATTTTTAGGCAATTTTCATTTCATTTCAATTTTAGGCAATTTTCATTATGTTTATTGTAGCTGGTAAGGGAGCGGTCATAAAGTGCTACCCTGGGGCGGAAGATATTGGGATGGGGTATGAAATTTTTTTCAGGGATCTAGATGGGGTATGAAATAAATTTATCACTTTAAAGAGGGGGTATGAAACAAAATTTGTTTGTTTCAATACAAAATTTATTTTAATACAGTTTAATATTACGGCTCCATTCATGGTCCAAATAATTTTTCATACATCACTGCCATCGTTGTCTCATAAAAGATTTGACCATTGCTCATGTAGTCTCCATTGCAGTTGCTCTTTGTGTTGTGATTTTATTCCTCTTCATGAGCTTGTGTGGAGGAGTACATAATGACACAAATATTATTCAAAGAATGGCTGTAAGAGAGACTATTGTACCGTATATTTAATACACAATGTAATCATTTTTAACCCTATTTGTACCGGGGGTGCGCACAATGAGCGCACCCAAATAAATATTTATCCGTAATTCCTGAACAAATGAATCCATTTGATTTTCTGAAAATTCAAAGTTATCCGGACGTTTGACGATATTTGTCAAAGAAGGTGTCTGGGCCAAAAATGGGAAAACGTGGGTTGGACCGTATTTTTTTGTATATTAGTACAGTATATTAATTAGAGAACATATAAAGATGGATTATTACACATGATTTGCAAAGTAAAATATCCATAATATATTGAATAAAATAGTAAAATATAGTATATTATATATCAGAGATTAAATATATAATATAGTATATTATAAAATACTCACATAATATAAAATACTTATTTATAATATTTTTATATATACAAATACACATATTTCTTTGTACCTTCAAGGTTGAGCAAACACCAACGATTTAGAAACCATAATATATTGCAGAATATGAAATCAATTTAGTATAAGTATTTATAAACATTGTGTTTTCAAAACTATACTACAGGCTCGTAGCCCACCTGTGTTACACTTCATGTAACACATAGTATATTGCCAATATTGGCCTGGTTATAAACATGGTCGCCATTTCATATTTCTCTACAAACTTTTCTTGATCGACTTCATTCAGTTCATTATTTCTTCGGTTTATACTGAAGAAGTTATGCCACCAAAAAGAGCTAGAGTTTCAGCAGAATGCGCAATTGCAAATATTATGCGATTTATGGAATATAAATATGACAACAATGACAGTGTCACAGTGATGATGGTGAAATCACTCAATCAGTGATGTTGAAAATGATTTGGATTGTTTATATGGGGAGACAGGTCAGTTTCAGTTGTTTGTCTTTTCAGAAATGGTACAGAAATGCCAGCTTGTAAAGAAAAATGGTGGTGTTTATGGACATCTGAGGTATGCCATAACATAAAAGTATGTCTTTTGAACGTAAAAGAACTAAAAATATCACATCCAAAATGTTTTTTTTTATCTCTTTACATAAAATAACCAAAAGGGGTAAAATATTAGCAATATTCGCCATTTTTAAAGAAAGATAAGTTTATAAAGAAAGATAAAACTTACTAAAAATAAAACTTATAGGATAATGGCAACTACTCTACAGAATTTATTAGTCCAATCAGCACACCCCAGGTCATATCAAGTGAATAAACCCCAACATGAATAAACCCCTTATAAAAGCTTATCGTTTTATGATGGGGTATGAAACATTGAGACCGTTATCTTGATGGGGTACCAAATATTATCCGACAAGTTTGTGGGGGTATGAATTTTTTTTCACAAAATTAAAAATATCCTCCGCCCCGGGGTAGCACTTACTTTATGACCGCTCCCTAAGTTCTTTTCTTATAGCCATACTAATGAATTTAGGTAAGATTGTCCTGCAAGTGGGTTGTTAATGTTCTGACAAAATTATTCAGCCAATGTCCAGTACATTTATTCATCATTGTTGTATTATAAATCTCTAAAAAATACAGCTCTTTAAAGTCCTAACTATATTGTACAAATTACTTGCATGTTTAAACTGATTATACACTAGTACATTGAAAAATGTTGATTATGATTCTTTAATTCTTACCTTAAAACTATAAAAGTAGGAAAACACTTTAGTTCTGTAGTAAAAATATTACTTTCAAAAAGCTAAACTCCTCGAAATGCTCGAAACATGCCGCCATGTTGAATTTAGTCTGCGAACAGGCCGCTGTTTTCGAATGGTTTTCTCACTGACCTATATATGTAGTTCACTGCATGAGCAGTCATTTCCGCTGATTGGCCGACACGGTTGGCTGATTGGCCGGTCATTGCACGGTCACGAGTTAAAATGAACAGTTTACAACTAGCAAAACGATAGCATAGTATATCTGCTGCCCAGATACAAAAATGGAAGATTTTCTGATTTGGACATGAATTTCTGGTGAAAATTATTTGTTGGAAAACAAAGAGTATCTGATTTGAAAAAATCAACAGCTAAGCAGTTCGGAGTTTTTCAAATTAAATGTACTACTAACAGCCGTTGCTATGGCAACATTGATGTTTCAATATGGCGGATATTTTCTGTTTAAAGTAATTGAATTCGAAAATAAGGTCGGTGACCCCCCATTTATTGATTTTAAATACTTGAATCATTTTCGTGATTTTAAAAAACTCTGTCATACCAATTTTTCAAGTTCGGAAATGTAATAATTCGTAACAATTTTTTTTTCGCATGACAGAATTATTTAAATATCATAACCATGATTCAAAATACTAAACGAATTAGTTTTATGAAATAAAAAATGGGGGTGACCGACTGTATTTTCAAGTGAAATATATTTAAATCCAAAATTTCGGCTATATCTGGAAGCGTCTTTGTTGTCATAGCAACGTTAGGTGCCCTTACT